ACTACCCCACCAGCATTCTGAGAGGGTTGACGCCTTCCATATATTTGCCCGCACGTTTTTGTTGTGTATATTCTATCCTTCTGTTCTCATTTTTTTTAACACCCGTAACGATCAGGGTTTTCCATATTTGTCGATCTGTTGCAAGTTCTTCCCAGTTGTCTATTTCTATTTGTGTCTTTTTGAGTGTATTCCTCAGATTGTCTTTATCGCGCTTGCGGAGCGTAGACTTTGATGATTTTAACTGGGCTAACAGCCCATACATAACCTATTTAGGCATGACTGAGTTCTCCCATCTACATTGGCTTTCCAATTTACCAACTGCAACACACACACGCACAAACACACACACACACACACACACACAATGTAACAGTTATCGCTGCAGCAAAATGAAATCAAATAGCCGAGTTCAAATTCCAGTTGATTCTGTTTCTCTCAATTAGTGCTACGAGAAGCAGTGGGCTGTAATGTTATAACCTATACTTGTACGAAAAGCGGATTCGGCAAACTGATATTGATTTCCTCATGATGCTATTGAGAGAATATATGAATCCATCACTTCCTGCAATCTCTTCTACCTAGATATCAAATGTCTCAGCAATTCTGGAATTCCACATTTATTGATGGACAAGAGACTAAGTGTATAGTGAAGTCAACTATTTCCCCCCAAATCACCTTTTATTTCCAGTCACCCGCAGGAAAAAAAACTGTAATCTCTGTATTCTAGATTTACAGGAGCCAATCAATGTACATGTCCATGTAAGTAACCCTTAAGAATATTAGGTTGCACGGTAAAAAAAGATGTTAATTTTAGCATTATAGAAGAACTATATTAACAAAGATGCCATAAGATATGGAAGCAGTTCAAGAGAAACCAACGTATATATAATTTTAAGTGCAATACCTTCGTTACTGATGTTGAAAAGAAGCAAGCGGATTAATTAAATATTCATTGATTCGTGCCGAAGAAATGTCAATCCCTTTAACAGTGCATTCCTATATTTTGTTTCTTAAAACTATTAAATATTCATATCTAAATATCTTTTTATCTCCCTTGCTCGAAGGAATGCCCGTATGGGCGTGTTCCTCTAATATACAAATTACGGAAACTACTAGGTCTTATTATGATGTATTTATACTAATCGATTTCAAAAACGTAGAAAAATTCGTTGTTTTTGTTACATACTTTTGAAATTAGATTTTTAAAAAATAGTATGTATTGAATTAAATGAAAATCGTGACGCTGATATCAAAAATAGTATGTAATGAATTAAATGAAAATTATTTTTGTGGCGCTAATAACCGACTGAAAACGTTTCTCGTATTAAAAGATTTTGATTAATACACGATGTTAAAAGTGAACCCGAAAGATTATTTTAAGCGCTAAGTACCTACAGAACGTGTGTGATTTTTGGTTTTCCATAAATTCCTGTCTTTTATTGCTCTAAGTAACTTTTTGCTCCATACCTTCTTTTGTTGTGCCATCCTCTCACACAAACATGTTACGTTACACACTGTTTCTGCTTTCTTTCCGTGTCCTGTGTGTATTAAATTCTCCAGGTCCACTTTCCTCGTTAAATGTCCCTGAAATTTCTCGCAGCACTTTCTAGTTGTAAGTTTCGTTGTAGTTCCTATTTTCTGAAAAACTTCCTCGTTGTTCTCATGTTCTGTCTATGGTATTCTTAGCATTCGTATGTAGAATCTCAACTCTGTTGCTTCATGTCTCTTTAGTATTTGTGAGAAAGTTGTCCAGCATTCAATTAGATCCTTATATAGCAGTTCTTTCTTTGATTGTAACGATATTTTCCGATTTTTTAATAATTTGCTTACATTCTATAAGGAATCTCATTAGCTGTATACGCTTTCGAATTTCTGCGTCACAGTTTCTGTTTGTCAAAATGCTTCCCAGATAATTACATTTTTGTTTGGCATCCCCAGTAAGTAAAGCTTACATCTTGGGCTGCTTCTTTTGCGACAGTAATGCATTTTTGTCATCTTACAGTTAATAGTTATTCCTTTCTTCTTGCTTTCCATTCCTATTTTGTCTAAGTGATCTTTCAGTTTTCTTTCTGAGTCTGCCATCAACATAGTGTCATCCGCGTATATATTGTTAAGATTATTACTGCCAATAATAAATCCAGATCTGTTTTTCTTATATGATCGTATTTCTCTAGCCTAAATAAATCAAGTGAGAAAACGTATTATTGTTTTATTCCATTTTATATATTTGTGTATCTACTAAATACATTCTCTATCCGCATGTAGGTTGATTGTTCCCTGTAGAGGTAACGGATAAATCGAATACTTTTCCGATGCAAATCAAGCCTTTCTTGTATTCCAATTATATCTTTGATCATAAAAACCAGAATTAGATAATTTATCCATAAGGATATACATTAACTAAAAATAGCGGATAATCAGCTATATTATAAATAAAGAATAGTATTAAAAAGATATTTGTCTGTCAAAAAATGTTTAGTTAATTAAGGAAGAATAAACAGTGTTTTTATTTATTTGCAATAATACTTTTTTTTTATTACATCTCCTGATGTCTTTCAGGTAACGTCAGGATTTCATAACATTATCTATATGACTACAAAAATGATTTTGTGCATTTTTGAAGTTTCCAGGAATTGCAGCTTTTAAAAATAATTCTTTGCAGACCAAAGTAAATAGAAAAATAAAGGTAAAATATTTGCTAAAAATAACAGATGGGTAAAAACTATCCTACCAACTGTTTCCCTATACTTATCAAATAAACATGTTGTCGCGTGTTAAGCTCCTATATTATTAAAGTCTTTCTGAAAGAATTCCAGTAGAACGCTTTTTAACAATTGTTGCCTTCAGTTAGTATAATTTGAAACATCCCGGGCGAAAAGCAAGGACTACCATCTTCTTAGGATTATCACGTTCTTAAGACTACCACCTTCTTAGGATTACCACCTTCTTAGGACTAACACCTTAGGATTACCCCCTTCTTAGGACTACCACGTTCTTAGAATTACCACGTTCTTAGGACTACCACCTTCTTAGGATTACCACCTTCTTATTACTACAACCTTCTTAGGATTACCACCTTTTTAGGACTACCACCTTCTTAGTATTACCGCCTTCTTAGGACTAACACCTTAGGATTACCACCTTCTTAGTAGTACCACCTTCTTAGGATTACCACATTCTTAGGATTACCACCTTCTTAGTAGTACCACCTTCTTAGGATTACCACATTCTTAGGATTACCACCTTCTTAGGACTAACACCTTCTTAGGATTACCACATTCTTAGGATAACCACCTTCTTAGGACTAACACCTTCTTAGGATTACCACCTTCTCAGGACTAACACCTACTTAGGATTACCACATTCTTAGGATTACCACCTTCTTAGGACTAACACCTTCTTAGGATTACCACATTCTTAGGATTATCACCTTCTTAGGACTAACACCTTCTTAGGATTACCACATTCTTAGGATTACCACCTTCTTAGGACTAACACCTTCTTAGGATTACCACATTCTTAGGATTACCACCTTCTAAGTATAGACTCTGGCACTATTTGTGGTTATTCATTTCGCTTTTCACACGATATATTGCCTTTCAGTTTATTATAAAATATCAATTTTCTATCGAAGGTCATAGTTTGTTTCACAAGTGGAATATTTGCATTACACTGAATCGCATAATGATGCTACACATCAAAGCAACTAACATAATCATGGGGGAGAAAAATTATTTACAATTCTGGGAATATGGGTTATATTGACTTTCTTGCAGTTGATTATTCTTAAAGGGTGTCTAGATATCAAGTTAATTGTTAATTTTAAAGATTCACCTAGCTTAACTAATCTTGGAGTATTGTAAAACTTGACAAACCATTGTAATATTCACAATGCAATCATTCATTGGCATTAATTAAAAAAAAGAGTTAAAAAAAGTTAAGAAAAAATGTTGTTTATAAAAACATTTTTCTTAATTTCACTTGACTTCCTTCTTTAAAATTACAATAACATAATTTGCCGTAAATGTTGCTTATTTTCTTCGTCTCAAGAATTGGCTCATTAAGCAAAAATATGCAAAACTGATCAAATGAATTTAATGTCGCTGATATTACGGCTGTCACAATATAATTAAAAGTAGTTCTTATTGAAGATAAAACAAATGCACTTAATTTCATATAACGACATTAACAGAACGTTTTTTTAGTTCAACGCAGTATATTAATAAAATACATTGCAGTAACAAGTATTTCCTTTATGTTTCACTTCTTGGCGAAGGAATTCTGATTGCTGCCAGAAGCCTCAGTGGGAAAATTTAGCCCTCATAGATATGACACCATTTATCGAAAATCAATTGATTGAATTCTATTCAGTAGCTTATTCATATGATGAAATATGCGTATAAAAAATAATTATAGTCTCGTATCTTTACAGTTCGTTGTAATTCTGTTTGAAAACTCAGTTATGTGCCATGCGTGATACAAGCTTAGGTGAAAATGTGTCTTTCGATACATGACTTACGAGGCAGATTTTTCCCGCAATAGGTTGCCATTTCTTTCTGCGATAGACCAGTTGCCATCCAAGTCTATTGAACCTGCTATTTGTTCTGCTACTTACCCATAGCTGGAGGAAGATAATGAGGATTAATACCTTTCCCAAGGGTATTAGCACGACTGGAATTCGAACTCGGCTCTCCGATTCCTCAATCCGAGCCGCTATCCATTACTCCACTGCACGGTTGAATTATTGATTGAATGATTCGTTTTTTATGGCTTATATAAAGCCAGAAAATATTTTAGAATGTAAGAATTTTGGGGGAGAAGATAATGATTTAATGATACAAGTCTTACTAATTAACCGATAGCTGAGGGGAAAAGAGTTAGAGTTCATAACTTTCCCGAGAGTATTTGCGCGTAAATGAATATAACGAACAGAAAATCGAAATCAGATCTCCGATTAACAATTCCAAGACATTACCCATTACACCATCTGCACATCCAAGCTTACAGCATCTGATATTCCCAATCGGTCAACCATCTAGATACTGACCAGGCCCGACGTTGCTTAACTTCAGTGATCGTACGGGAACCGGTATTTCAACGTGATATGGCCGTTAGCCACATAAGTTTTGGTAGTAACACTTTTATCAATTTTGTGTAAATGTTATGCTTGAAACAAGTGAACTTTATTTTAGAAATTATGTCAAGAAGCATTTAGGATTTTTTTTTTTCAATTTCCTATGTCCAGAATCCACAAGAGACAATCTCCCACGAAACATTTACAGCAGGCTTATGCCACTTTCTCACCTCAGGAAGAGTGGTTGAATTACTTGAACCCCCCTCCCCCACCGCACTAAGTCAGGTTGTGACACAAGGTCAGTTTTTAACGTGGGGACCAGAGTGTCTTCACTCGGGCCGCTGGTCTTAGTTGGTCCATGCTGGTCAAGGCTAGTCTAAGTTAGTCATAACTGGTCCATGCTGGTCAGAGCCAGTCCAAGCTAGTCATAGCTGTGATATTATCAGCACAGGGCAAATATCAGAATGTGTATACCACTCCAAGGAGAGGTTTAAACACTCTCTTTCTAAGCATAGCTTAGATGTGGCACATGACCGAAAGTATGGAACACCTAGTGAGGATCAAACTCACTTTTCAGTTGTAACTGATCTAGCAAGACAAGCTTGCTAACCATTACACCACGCCGAGGTACCCCACCCCAGGAAGAGTGGTTGGTTGGCTGAATTTGTTTAGAGGCATATCAAACTCTTTGGGTTATTTAATGCCGAAATCTAAATTATTTGAATACCGTTCAACTAAATATATTTTGAATGCAATTGTATGCCTTCAACTAAAGACAAAATGTATAGCTGATCATATGGTAATTTTACTATAAATATGGAGTTTTTTATATAAAGATGTATTGCTTGTATTTTTACTATAAAAATGTATATTCCATACTCCTCAAAATCTCCAATCTCGCGATCAAAACCTTGCCACCGGATGTAGTTTATCGTCATTTAAATGACTGAGATCAATAAATAAATGTAAATTTTTATAAATTCACTATTTGTAACATTCACACTATTTTCAATATATGGACAGAATTCATTCACTTTCTTTTGTTTAAATACAGCACTCGTTCTTGAAATTTAATATCGTTTCTTATCTGGAAAACAAAGAGAATTATCTGTTAAGCAATCTACGAGATTAGATCATGAAGATCAAAGTATTTTCCTTCTGTAATACTGTGTAAAATTAACAATTATCTTTTATCATTAACTTCTGAATTTGCTGATGTAAATACAGACATTGAGCTTTAAAAATTACTGTATGTTAATGATTTCATTAATAAACCCGAATTTGGCTGTTTACAATGTTTAATTGAATCATTTTCTACGGTTTATCAACCCTCTGTAGGTAAAGCCAAAAATATTCTTAGATTGCAAGAATTTTTTAAAATAATAATGATTTCGTGGTACAAGTTTGACTAATTAACCCATAGCTGAGGGAGAAGAGGTGGATCTATACATTTCCCAAGTATATTTGCTCGTAAGTGACTATAACGAATCCAACTGGAATCGGAAGTCTGCTCTCCGAGTCATTATCCATTACACCCCCCCGTAGATTCAAGTTTACAGTACCTGATATTTAAAAGCGGTCACCCATCTAGGTACTGACCAGTCTCGACGTTGCTTAAGTTCGGTGAATCTTACGGAAACGAGTATTTCAATGTGATGTAGCCGTCAGCCTGTAATAAAACTGATCAATCTTTTCCACACACATTTATCATTTTCTAAAACATCTTAAACTAAATTTTGTTCACGTCATTAAAATTCATTACTGCTTGTTCAGAAAATGAAAAAAAAAATCTTAAAAGTATGTTGAACTGTAAGCGCAATGCCTCGGATTCCTAATTATGGTCAAATGCCTCCGCATTTTATTCACACTATAAAATAGAAATTAAGATTTTAATCAGGCTGTATTTGCATGAAAAACACTAGTTAAACATTTTGGATGCTGCAACTTTGGATCCTCCTATCGATGTCCAAATTCAATTAACGGCGTATTTCCAAATTCGTGAAAATTATATCACGTATCGTCAAGTTACGTGTAGCAGAATATACCCATTTCACGGATATAAATAACACCTGTTACATACATTAAAATACGCAGTTTAATAATAATCTTTGACGATGTTACATTGATATCGTGTATACTGATAACATGGATTGTGATGACATAAGTCACAGTATATTAGTTGTCTAATGTGCGTGTGGTGCAATGGATAGTGGCTCGGAGTATCATGGCCTTCTCCAAAATCCTATTCCTCGTAACCCTTAGTAACATTTTACTCTTTGCTAGCCGTCACACCTCCCGTTTCCCCATCCATTCACACAGCTCTTCAGTTGAGTGGCCTGCTACTTTCCCCTGTAACTTTTTTTTTTTTTTCGATGCGTCCTTTGGTTTTCAAATTCTCCAAGCCCTCCTTCCTCGACGCGTCCAAGAAATGCCAGCTGCTTCTTTCTGATTTTGAGTATGTGCGCTTTTTGTTTCCATTTTCTTTAAGATTTCTTCGTTGCTTATCTGTTTCGTCCATGCTATTCTCAGCATCTTTCTCTGGGATCAGATTATTTTTGCCAAATTTTCTCTTCATCTGAGAGGAAATTGTCTAGAATTCACTTACAAGAAGATTTTCTTTGTTTGTAACGAAGTTTTCCTATTTCTTATTTCACCATAGTCGATTTTTCAAAGAGGAGATTTCTTGATAATATCGGTGTAAAGAAAATGATTACAGCGTCTGGTACCCTTGGAACGTGCATGAAACCCATAACAAAGATTTTTTCGTAAGTCAAAATGGGTAAACGGAACGATTCGGAATTTGTCGATGGCTGTGCTAGCACGAAGTCACAAGTCATCGTGACAAAGGGTGTTTGAATGTACTAGCCTTGTTCATATACTGATCACAACCGATTGTGTGCTCTCACCAAGAATCTATAATTAAAGTCTGCTCAGTATAGATCAGCAGATTGGCTTTGTGCGTATCGAAGGAAGGGATTAGATAATCCACCCTAGCAGGCAAGCACACTCAACAGTCATCTATTTTTATCGTTACATTATTAATCGGACTTCTTGGTTAACATACATTAATAACGTGACAAATCAGCGTTTCCCGTTTTTCCCGCCTATCCAACTCAAGGGCCTGGATTTCAACATCTGAATTCCTTTTCTCGTACTAGAATAACAGGAAAGTTCATCGCCTCTATTTATAAAACATTTGCAAATAAATTATGCCACTGTTATAATTTGTAAGTTATCAGCAAGTCGTATATCAAATCCGTATCTGATGTGGCATCTACCGAAACGCCCCATATATTATTGGTGACAGGTCTTATTTCTGGGGTATGTTTTCAGACATGGCGGTCGCTAACAGCGTCAGAAGTATATCGGGCACTATATCTAACGTCAACGCGTCAAAATCTTGCGAAAAAGCCTTGTCCTCGCCTTACATGTTATTGCGACTTATTAATATTCATTTGTTATGTCATAATTATTCAAGAATAAGAAAAGAAATACATAGAATTATCAATCTGTCTGACGAGTGATCATCATTGTCATATTACATTCGGACTAAGCTGCCTCATTTCTTATAATCACATTTCGGCTTTTGTAATCTTGGTCCCTCTTCGGGTGTCTGTCGATTTGCATTTCGTGTTGAGCTATTTATTTAATCTATTTTCCCGTTCTGCTGTCCATTACTATGGATATCTCGGCTTATTATTGTTCTTTCTAGGTTTTTTCGTATTTCTCATCTATTGCCTACGCTATTTTTACTTAGCATGTACTCCCCCACCCCCGGGAGTGAACTCACAATTACTATGTAACCAAATCCACAAATCAAAGCTTTTAATTCAGTAAGCGGTTGTTCCTTGTAAAAATCCTTGACTGATATGTTTTTTATTGTTTTTTTTACGGCTTGTCAACCTTTGCAGGTTATTTAAAGCCAAAACATTTTCACAATGTAAGACTTTTTTTTAGATATATTAATAATTTACTGATACACGCCCTACTAATTAATTAATATCAGGAGAAGTGGTGGAATTATACATTTCCAAAGTGTATTTCCGCGTAAGTGTTTACAAAGAAACTGACTGGAATTGAAACTCGGTTCTCTGATTAACCTATTAATCTATTACACCACCTGCATACCCACGCTTACAGCACCTGGTTTTCCCAAGCCAGGTTCGACGTTGCTTAACTTCGGTGATCGCATGAGAACCTATGTTTCAACTTGATATGCCCGTAAGCCTTCTTGAACCAAGAAAATAGAGCCTTTTAACCTAATGATTATTTTCATATGCTAATTTTATAACATGATACTCGTGAATAAAATCTTAAAGTCAAATGCTGAGTGATTTAATCTTGCTCATCATTATGGCTGAGTAATGAGTTCCTCCCTAGGGTTATAATTAATTTCCGTACACCGAATTGCGCACATTATTTCTTTACTTTTTAACATTTTTTTTTTTTTTGAAGGATTCAAATCAGATATTGCATTTTCTTTTGTAGAGAGAGTATTTGATAAAATATTCTTTAATGAACATTTAGTTTTGAAACCTACTCAGATGTGTAACCGATCATTTAAGGAATCGTCAGTTGCCCACCATTCTGGGGTTTCGGGGATTCAAGAGCAAAACCTCTATTTGGCAAACAATCCAGAAATTGAGAATTCTTCATTAATCAACAGATATTATTATTATTATTGTTATTATTATTTTAGTAATGTTGATGTTGTTGTTATTATTGTTGTTGATGTTGTTGTTATTATTGTTGTTGTTATTGTTGTTGCTATTGTTGTTGTTGTCAGTTATTATTATTATTATTATTATTATTATTATTATTATTATTATTATTATTATTATTATTCCCTTTAATTTCTGTTGTATACTCATTTCCTTTCGGGTTTTGGCAATAGACCCAAAGTCAAAAATTGTTTCATGACATTTTCCACTAACCATTTTTGTAAAGAAAAAAATAACTATTATGATTATCACTATCATTATCATGCTTGTCTCTCTCTTATTAGTTAGTTTTCACGACCATTATGCCCTGCCAATACC